AAAAAAAGGAAAAAAAAAGACAGAAGAGGATATATATAGGCCATTTGTAGAAGAGGCCCTTTGAAGAGCTAATAACCTTCCGAATAGCAGCTTAACCTCTTTAACACTAATTAAACTAAGGTATCATTTTACCCCCTTTAATTGGCAAAAATTAGAAAATTGGAATCATATCAAGTACTAGTGAGAAGGTGGGAAAGAAAAGCTCTCCGTCCCTGCTGGTGGGAAGTGTGAGACGTGCTGCAGAGAAATCTGGTTGACCTTAGCTAGCACCCTCCCCGGCACTCACTGTTGGGTATACAACTTCAGAGAGTCTCATGTAGGCCCACAGGAGACATGTGCAAGGAGGTGCCAGCCGTATCGGTTGGGATTTGAGCCTGCCTGGTGTCCTTCACTGGGGGTGGGTACATAAAATCGGGCCTTGGCATATGACGGGATAACACTCAGCAGTCAGAGAAATGAACTTCACCTATGTTCAGCAGCCGGGGAAGATCTCCCAACTAGGCAACCCAAAGGGAAGAAGTGTAATAGATGGAAGATCTGATGGCCTGAAACCGTTTATGTAGATTTCAAAACACAGACAGCACTATGCTTTTAAAGGGTGCCCATCTGTCTAAATAAACAACCTCCCCAGACATTAGGATGGAAAGACGTTTTCATCACTCAGGTTTGGCACAGGAGACATTGTGATGCGCTTACACCAAAAGGTAGTAGGTCAGTTAATTACTACCCAGGAATGTTTGCTAAGAGACCCTTGCCTCTTACCTGGCCCCTGCGGTGGGGTTTGGGGAAGGATGAACAGTCTGCTTTGCATGTGACTTGTCAATAAAAAGCAAGCTAAGTTTAATGGCTGCGTTAAAGGCCACATCAAGTGACTTCATGTCAAAACAGATTCAACAAGATGTCACTTACCCTCCCAGAAATAAGTTAAAAGGCCCTGTTCCAGTAAGTCCTCCGGGCTTCACAGAGGGGTTAATCTTATCTTCTCCCGTGAGAGTCATTCGCCCTGTGAATCTCTGTGCTGCTGAAGGAGGTCATTTTAAAATGGGAACATCGGTCTTTCCTGGGGGACCATATTTGGGGCCAAAGCTCATGGTCTAGGGGCCCGGGTCTCATTAGCCTCCTCTTGGCCTCACCTTGGTGATACTGCTGCCTCTCTCTCTGCATTTTAAAGTACAGGAGAAAAAAGAAGGAAAATGAATAAGACTAGGGGAAAAAAAGCTAAAGGATTAGTTAATAAAACAGTAGAGATCAAAACAGTAAAAACAGACAGCTCTGGTAAAAAGACAAAAAGCTCTACTGAATGGGACCATAAAAGGCCAAGCGAGGTCTTTTGTCTAAATTAAAAATAACTACACCATAAAGCAGGGAGCCGAAGCTTTGGTGAACGAGGCTTCAGAGGCTGTAGTCCAGAGCCAGGCGCAGGGAGCTCTCCTGTGCCCTCCTGTTGTCTCCCGTGGGCTCTGGCCCTTGGAGGCCAGGTACCGAGATACTCTGTCTGATGGGGCCGAACTGCTGGGGGTGTCTACAGTTCTGGGCTGGGAGGACAGTTCTGGCCTCACAAGACACCTTCCCTGGCTTCTGTTTATTCTGCCCACCTGGTCTTTGCCCAGGTGGTCCCTGCCCCCTGCCTCCATTCTGCCTTCCCCCTTATTGTCCCTGTTGGCCTAGCAGGGAGAGGAAGAGTCACAGCCTGTGGGCTCCAGTCCCAGTTCTGGCCCCTACTAGCCATGGAACAGGGGCAAAAAGTTGAGTCTCAACTTCCTTATCTCTCAAAAGGGGAGAATCATAACGCTGGCCCTGCCTGCCCCCTAGGCATCCTTCAGAAACCTGGAACAGCAAGGAAAGTGGAGGGATTTTTCTGATGGAGACTTAGCTCAGGACTCCCTCCCCCATGAAGCCCTGTGTGAGTATTTCTACCCAGGCTTAGAGAGTGTACCTGGTTATCCTTTAACTGAGTGCTGTTAACGCTCAAGATAATCTCTCCATGCCTGGACAGGTGTGGAGGTTATTAGTTGGTGCTTACTAGATATCAATCGATCAATCGATTGATTGATTGAAAGGTCTTGCATTCTTGCCTCTCTAAACAGATTGCGAACTCTCTGAAAGATAAACCTCTTCGTTCTCCCTCCCCACCTTCCATTTATTCTATCAGTCATCAAATACTTGAGCATCTACTATGTTCCAAGTCCTGTTCTAAGCCTCGGACACAGTCCTGTCCTCAGAAAACCTGCATTCTGGGTGTTGGAGGAGGGAGGAGGCAGTTAAAACACAAGGAAACAAACAAATAGCAAAAATAATGACAGATTCTGAGATGTGCAATGGACACAAAAAAGAGACGGAGATGGGGAGCCACTGGGGGAGGGATCTACTTAGGCAGGGTGGCCAGGGCAGGGGTCTCTCTGGGGAGGGGACAGAAAGGCAGTGGGAGGACAAGAAAGCTGGCTGGTGGCCAGAGCAGCGGAGCTGGAGGGCAAGGTTTCCAGGGAGAAGGAACCGTGTCTGCAGTGGCCCCTGAGGTTCAAAGTAAGGAAGATTAGCCCATGTGACTGGAGCAGAGCTTAAAGGGACTGGAGCAGGAGGGGCAGAGGGGAGGGAGGAGAAGTTTGAGAGGAAGTCAGGAATTATTCACAGGCAGGTCCTTGTGGGCTGAGAAGGGGGTGCAGAGTTTCTTTCAGGGCAACAGGAAGCCACAGAGGGGTTTTAAATGGGAGAGTGATGTGCAATATTTTATTACTTCTGAGACGATCTCGGGGATTGAAGAGGATGTTAAACACACCATGAGGACAGAATCAGTGAGAACATGAGCCATTCTACAGGGCGGACAACCTGCCCAAGGGCCCTTAGGGGGGTGGGGGGGGACTGTTAAAGACAAAGGGACATCAGCCAAATGCAATGGACAGGACTCGTTTGCATCCAGATTTGAACAAACCAAATGTAAAAGGTTGTTGAGGTAGCTGGGGAAATTTGAACACAGACTGAGTATTAGATAATATTGAGGAACCATCGCTAGTTTTGTAAGGTATGTTCATGGTATTATAATTAGGTTAAAGGAAGAGAAGTCCTTATCTGTTAGAGATACTTGTTGAAGCATTTACAAGTGAAATGAAATCATGTCTGAAATTTGCTTTAAAATACTTCAGAAAAAAAAATTTGTGTAGGAGAGAAGAATGAAATGAGATTAGCAAAATGTTGATAAGTTTTGAAGCTGAGTGATGGTACATGGGGTTCATTATACCAGCTTCTGAAATTTTCTATAATAAAAAGTAAAAAAAAAAATCTTTTTTTAAAGTTCTTTGGCTTGTTGTGGTGTGGTGTGGTGTGTGGTCCCCCACCGTGTGCAGTGCCTGGGCATTGGTCCCCTCTGAGGGCTGAGGAGCACAGGCCTGGCAGATGGCATGTCTGGGGACACTTTGTGGGGTGATGGGGGAGGAATTGTTAGAGAACCATCTGTGGACCCTCTGCTCACCGCCTGGGGCAGTGACGCTTCCTCTCCATCCTGGTTTTTGGTCTGAGAGCCATTTGGCCTCCAGACCCAAGGAGGGAACCCTTGGATTAGGACAAACAGGCCCCTATGGTGTGTGTGGGAGGAGTAGTCCCCACCTGCCCAGGTATCAGTTCTCATCACCACAGATAATCACAGGATCTTACTCCAGAGAGACACAGGGAAGCATGGAGGGTCTGTGCCTGCAGGATATGGAGCAAGAGGAAGAGAGGGGCTTGAGGGGCAGAAGAGGCTTCTGGAGCTCAGGTCTCGGGGAGGGGCAGGTGTGCAGAGAGAAGTTTAGGGTACTAGGCACCAGGCACCCCTGGCTCCCAGGAAGAAAGGCAAGGAGGCAGGGCAGAGAGGACCAGTGTCCCCTCCCTTTGCCCTCCCTTCCTCTCACGGCAGGCACAGAGACAACAGACTGCTAATTCAATTCTGTCTTCATCACCAGGAAGGCGCTTTTAATCAAATCTTAAGTTGAGTGGCAGGATCGAGAGAGGAGACCCGTTCTGCCTTCACTTGCTCTATTCCAGAGAGCAATTTGGGGGGTTGCTAATCCTGCCCGCATCACATTAACACCAATAAAACACCCTTAGGGCTCCCACTCTCCAAATGTCAACATTTATTAGCTCCAGGGCCCAGCACCAACTTCCAAGCTGCCTCCCTCTGAGAGCGCAGGCCTGGCGGGAGGAGTAGGTGAGGGGGCCCAGTCCCATGGCCACCACTGCCTCCTACCCTCGGGTCAGCCTGGAGCCCTGGGGGCAGTCAGCGCTGAGACTGGGGGCTCAGAGCCGGCAAAGTCTCAGGAATATCTGCCGAATAGAAACCTGGGGACACCTGTGCTGGAGAAGGGCCTTCTATTGCTTCTCCTAACTCAGAGGGACTTGTCCCCCCACCCACTCTAGGGAAGAACAGACTCCCTCGTAGCCCAGTCTCCCCGCATCTCCGCCTGTCACCCACCTCCACCCTGGAAAGAAGTCTTCCTGCCGAGGTCTGATGGGGAGTGTCCTTGCTGGTGGCCCAGGCTTCCCTAGGCCCCCCTTAGGGTTTGAGGCTCCTTTGACACAGACCAGACGACATATACAGAAGGTTAAGGGGTCAGCTGGGGACCTCGGGAGCAGGACAGGAATTCAGACGAGTGCTTATTCTGCCTGGCCCACTGCTGGTCCCCATCTCGCCTCGGGGCACACCTGCGAGCTTTTGGGCTGAGGAGCAGCCTCTGGGAAGCCCAGCAGTTTCCAGCAGCTGAGCGCCCTTGTGAGGCATCACCTCGGGTTCTCCTTCTGGGGAACCCTCTCCCCTGGTGGTGAATGTGACATCCCCAGGTGGTGAATGTGACATCCCCAGGTGGTAGTGAGCAGAGGGGAGTCTAGGGGCACAGCCCCTAAATAACCACCGATTTTCCTTGAAGCTTCTTTCTTATCTGAAAAAAATTCAGGCACATAGGGTGTTCTGCTCCACAAAACATGTCTGTTTTAAATTACTTCTCAGTTAAATCACCAGACTTTCTCCTCAGGATCTTTGTGAACATTCATACTCCAGGGAGCTGGCTGCATTTGGCTGATGTCTTCATGTGCTCACAAAGTGTTGAGTGATTTGTGAACCCTGGTTTGGGAAGCAAGGCTTTGAATTATCTGCACGTCTGTCTCACAGTCTTGCCGTCCTCACAGGTAAGAGCACTTCCAATCTGGGGATTCTTTTTAAGGGGCAGGAGTAGTTTCCCAGGACTGCTGTAACAAATGACCACACACTGGGAGGCTTGAAACAATGGAAACAAGTTCTCTAGCAGCCAGGGAGGCCAGAGGTCTGAAATCAGTGTTGGCAGAGCCCTGCTCCCTCCGAAGGCTCTTGGGGAGGATCCTTACCTGCCTTTTTCCAGCTGCCAGGGGCTTTGGGTATTCTTGGCTTGTGGTTTCATCACTCTGGTCTTGCCCTCATCTTTACATCACTTTCTCTGCTAGTCCAGAAGAGGAGTGAACCAGACTTCTTGTTAGAGGGCTTAGGGAAAAGTAGCCCCCGCTCCTGAGTGGATCAACATTAGCTGGGCAGGGAGAGGGTGGCTCTAGGTTTTGGAGGTAACGGGG